CCATCCATTCACCCACCCACCCACCTATCCATCCACCCACTCATCCATCCATCTTCCCATCCACCCAACCACCTATCAGTCTATCCACCCACCCATCCACTCACCCACCCACCGGCCCACTCATCCATCCACCCACTCATCCATCCATCTTCCCATCTACTCACTCACCTATCCACCCACTCATCTATCCATCCTCCTATTCACCCAACTACCTATCAATGTATCCACCTACCCACTCATCCACCCATCCATCTACCCACCCTCCTATTCACCCCCCATCCCCTCTTCCACCCATCCATCCATCCAACCACCCACCCATCTGCTCATTTACTCATCTATCCATCCATCTACACACTCAACTACCTACTCATCCATCCATCTACCTCTATTCACCCATCCACTCACTTCATCCATCCATCTATCCACCCACCCTCACATCCACCTATCCATCTACCCCCGTAGTGTAAGTGCCAAATAATTAGCTTTTTTGATTATAATGTAAGTGCCTGACATTAAGCTTTGATTGCCAAGGCATCCATTTCAAAGACATCATCTTGAATAAACGTATTGCCAGCTACACCCCTCAAGTTCCCCTTTCAGAAAGCCCCGGGTGACCCAGATAACTGACCCCTTGATGGCCCCGTGTTTCCCTTCCCGCTCCTCAATTCCAGCACTTATGTTTTAAATTCACCAATAAAGAGTGAACCCACAAAACCCTAGGCACACCCTTGACTCCAGTAAAGGCAGAGCCCAGGTCCACGCTCTCTCTCTCTACCTGCAACTTTGCTGTGTGGCCCCGGGGAAGGCCGCATGTCCTTTAGGACCCGTGAGTAATAAACCTTGTCTTTTCAAAGTTCCCTGATGGTTATTGCTGAGGTGCGTCCTGCAATCATAAGAACCACAAGGGCGGGTCCAGCCACAGCGTTGGCTCCCATGGGGACAGCCACAGGAGTACAGGCCCAAGGGAGGCCCTAGGGGAGGCCCCAGTCATCGCTGGCATCGCTATGGATAGACTGAGACCCACCCCAAACCACCCCTTCCCCACCCATCTATCCACCCATCCGAGACCCATCCACGCTTAAAGCTCTTGGCCTGGGGCAGGGGAGACACAGAGGCGGAGGCAGGGGTGCCAGCGTTTAGGAGACAGGTGTGACGGGCACAGTAGTGCTGAAGAGCAGGGGGATGCCAGCCCGCCAGGGTTCGAGTCCTGCTCACTGCCTGCCTTGTTCCGCCTGTGAGCAAATTGACCCCGGGGAGCCTGGTCGACTTGGTAAATGGCATCCCCACCCCCACTCTGAGGCTCACACTGGCCCCCAGGGTCCTGAGGCACATGCCCCAGCTGGTCACCCCCTCCTACAGCCGCAGGTGCTCACCGTGTTAGGGACGGAGGAAGCACCACCGCCCTGCCGGAGACAACTATCAGCTTTTTTCCAGTCCTGGGTTTTATTGACTCCAAGGGGCTGCCAGAGTTATAAATAGATGTTCTTGAGCTAAAAATAGCCTCGCTGGAGCAGCAGCCCTTGCTTCTAGCTTTCGGCCTCTTTGAGGACTCTTAAGGATGCAAGATTCAAGGACCCACCTCCTCCCGCAGCCAGAAGAGGGGCTGACCTACCTTCTACCCTTTCTCCTGCTTCCTTCCTCTTCCTCCCGAGCCTCCTGGAACACACACACACCGCACACACTTGTGTGTTCATACACATGCACGTACACTCACATATGCTCACACACATGTGCACTCACACGCCCACACACGCTCTCACACACCCACGTGTGCTCATACACACCCACATGTGCTCACACGCACACAAACTCAGGCATGTGCAATGACACACCCACATGTGCACACACACCAACCTGTCCAGTGTCCCTGGTTTGGGCCACCTGCCTGCTTGGAAAGCAGGAAAGATTCACAGGATAAAATGGCCAAACCTCCAGGAAGGTCAGACGCTGCGAAGCCCTGCGCTGCTTCATCAGAGTACCGCAGGCCGAGGGCACAGCTCTGTTGGGGAGGCCGCCTGGACATGGGGAGATAAGAAATTCCCAGAAAGCACCTAGAGAGGGGCCTGGCACGTAGTGAGCACTCAGAGCACAGAAGCCGTTGTTACGGTAACGGACAGGCAAACTTCAGAGTGGCCCAGAGGAGGCATGCCTAAGGACGTGTCCCACGATGCGCAGAGCTGAGCTGTAACTGCACACGGGTGGATGAGGCTCAGCCCCGCTGGGGGGCGCGGTGGGCACACACTGTGGAGTCTGCCCCGCAGTGGGGCGGGGGTGTCTGCAGGCAGGCGGGGCTGCCTCCAGGGAGAGGAACCCGGTGGCTGGGGACAGGGTGGGGGACACACCAATACTTTCCACCAGACGCCCTGTGTGCCTTTGGCCCCCGTACCACGTGCACAGACCATGTCAGGAAATAACTTGGTATTTAAAAAGCTAGCTGCAGATACTCCGTATAGTAGACCGCCATTTCTGTTGAAAAGGAAAAGCTACTGTGTGGTATGTGCATGTGTGTGCCCACAGGCACGCACGCATGCGCACGTGCACACACACGTGCACACACATGGAGGTCTGTGGGGGAGCATCGAACCATTTCCAGTGGTTACTCCCAGAGAGCAGGACGGGGGGCAGGTGAGGGGCAAAACTGAGCCTTGACTTTACATAGTTCTCAGTTATTTAAACCTGCACCAGCACGTAACCAGTGTGTTCCACGTTCTGGGTGCAGCTGAGGGCCTGTGCTCTGCCCTGGCCCCACCCGGGCCCTGCTCCAGCACCGCACTGCTCCTCCACCGGGCCCGACCCGGCCTCTGGGCTCGGGGCAGTGAGTCTGGGCCAGTGCGGCTTTCCAGGCCCAATACCCCAGCCTCCTGGCCTCAGGGAGCCTCCAGGACCACCCCTGACCCTCCGCCCCACCCACCACCAGCGTGAAGAAAGAGGCAGCCAGAGGCGCGGAGAAAACATCCGTCTCAGGATTTATTACAACACGTTGTTTCCAAATACAAAAGAAGGGACAGGACAGGGAGCAGAAAGGTGGCGGCGCTGGGGGAGGTTCTGAGGCAGGGGCGGTGGGCGGCCCAGTCCAGACAGACTGGGAGCCGTGCGGGGGACCAGCCGCCTCTCCTCCGCTGGACTTTCCAGCAAATAATAGGAGGGGGCTGGTCCATTCTGGGGCGCCCCCAATGCCAGAGCACTGGGCCGGGCAGGAGGAGTGGGAGGGACCGGAGAGACTGGAGAGGACTGGGGCCCAGCCCCTCCCAGCCTCAGACAGTGGGTGGAAGTGACCAAGGAGGGGCTTGAGCCCGGTGCCCAGTCCCCAGCACAAGAGGGCGGCAGCCGGGACAGAACCCTCTCCCCGGCGCAGCTGCTCACTTTGGGGTGACCAGTGCCTCAAAAGCAAGAGCCCCCACATGCCCCAGAACAGAAGCCACAAGAGATGCCGCAGCCCTGGAGAAAGGGCAAAGGGAGGGAACGACAGGGGCCGTGGGACCTGCCTCCAGAGTTTTGGGGCCCAACCAGTGGCCCCAGACCACTGTCTCCTGGACAGCACAGGGGTGGGGGTGCGGAGGGGGAGACCAGTGCATCCTCCACACCCAGGGTCACCTCAGAAACCCAACGCGATAGACAGGCAGCAAATTTACATAATCAATAATAATAATAATAATTAACCAATAATAATAAATACTTAAATCTCTAATCCATAGATTGCAAATACAACGATAGCTTATCTTCTTGGGGAACGGGGTAGGGACAGAGGGCACAGGAACAGGACTTTTGCTTAAAGGAGGGATGACAAGGACATAGCGCTGGGGGTCAAAAGAAGAACAAATAGAAAAACAGCCAAAGGGGCAGCAAGGGGTACAGCTGGGGGGACAGACACCTCCCCCACCCCACCCCCCACTCAGTCCTGCTGGGCCACCATTCCTGCCAAGCCCCTGGCCTCTTCCCCAGGTGACCGGCCCTCACTCCTAGACTCTAGGACTCCTGAAGATCAGGGGACATCTCCTGCCTCCAAGAGCCTCAGGTCCCAGTGACCTGATAGGGTGTGGGGTGGGGGTAGCTGGGGCCTTTCTCCTGCCCTCACCCCCAGGCTGGCCCACCTGAGCCAAAAAGCCACCCAGGGGTGGGGCCTGGCACGTCACCTTGAAGACACTGGGGAGACTTCGGAGGAGAGAGCTCCCCAGGAAAGGGGTGCGCAGGGGGCTTCTCTCCTCCGAGGTCTCCGTGGGGGTCAGGGCAGACAAGGGGGACACCTCCGGCATCTGTTTGTGTCGGGGGTCTTATCTGCCTGGAGATGGCCCTCCCAAAGCTAAGGACCCCCACTCCCTGGAAGCATAAGGGTCTGACAGGCGCTTAACTGCCCCCTGCCTCTGCAAGGCAGCAACCCCTCACTGAGGCCCTCAACCTGCAGGAACAAACCAGAACTCCAGGTCTGGCCTGGGGCCTGGGGCTGGGTGGCGGAAGAGCCCAGAACAAGACCCGAAATCCATCTGCCCTCTGACCAGTGGAGCCGGCCCTGGCAGGCCCAGCTCCTCCCACCTGACACCCCCAGGGGCCATGCCCCCTCCTCCTGCTGTTTCCCCCACCTGGCAGGTGGCGCCAGGGGGCACCAGCCACATGGAGGAGAGGGCAGTAGCCTCCTCTGAACAGCCTTGCTGAGCTGTGAACCTAGACTGGGGCAAGAGTGGGGCGCAGCCCTGCGCTGGGGACCCATTATCATCTGACACTCAGCAGCCCCTCCACCAAGCCCCTTCCCAGTTCTATACCGAAGCCCCTCTGAACAGCCTGGCCCGTCAGCCCAACGCCCGTCAACCCCCCTCGGGCAAGAGGCCTGGGGGACGGGCGGTGGGGGCGCCCTCCATGGCACCAAGACGTGGCACCTCCTTGGCCACATCCCAGCTCCTGGGAACACCTCTCCCACCTATGGCTTTGGTGCAAAGCCCAGAAAGGAGCAGAGGAGGAGGAAGAGGGAGGAGGGGGGCAGGGAGGTTCACCGGCTCAGTTTGTGGCAAATTTTTTTTTCCTTTTTTCCCCTTTTTCTTATGTAAAAAGTGCACGAAAGCTCGGCAGCCTCTTTGCGAGGGTCAGCAGTGTTTCCTGGGGGGGGGACAGGGAGGGGACCCCAGGCCTGGCACCTCAGCTTGCGCCTGAAGGTGGCCTCATATTGCTTAGAAACGTGTGTTTCAGTTTAAATACCAGACAGTAAAAATACAGCTCTGAGGGCCGCCCGCACTGTTGCCAAATCATTGCCAGAATGAACAGCTTAAATAAATAAAAAATCGAAATATTTACTTCTCGATAAAAATCGCAGTAAAACCATTTACCTTTCTTTGCATTATATATAATATATATTTATAGTGGGCCCGGCTGCTGGCGGCCGAGCGGGGCGCCAAGCGGCTCGCGGCGCGGGGTCCCGGCCGCCGTCAGGACACCTCGATGACCTCCACGCTCCCCGAGAAGCTGGCCTGCTTGCCCAGGGCGGCCAGCTCCTCGCCGCGCGCGCGCCCCTCCACCATGCCCTCCTCGAACTCCATCTGGCAGCTGCGGCGCTTGAACTGCGTCTCCGGGGCCGGCTCGTCGGGCCAGCCGGTCCGCGCGTCCCGGGACTCGGCCCT